TAAGTAATCATCCAACAGTAAAGATTTCAATTATTAGTAAAATAGTAGCTAAGTTTAGTAGTATTCCCTACAATTATTTTTACCTGTACCTCTCTAATTTTCATTGTAATTAAAAATTAACCAAGTTTGATGAAAATCTATACCCATTTACCACCCCTCCCCTATCAAACACCATGCTTTCAAGTTGCCTGAACATTTTAGATTTGGGAAAAAGTCTTTTTAGAAATATGTATAATCTGAGATCAATCAATCGTAAATAGATGCTATACAAATAATCACAGAATGATGTATGTTTGAGAAGTACTGTAAGTCAACGAGCGCTGATTAGCTATTTCATAATGGAGGTACTGTCACCACCATGAGAACTGAAAGTGGTGTTTGTGATCCTCTCCCAATCGTTATTAAGTCTTAAATGAGATACTGACTCAGTGTTCCTGGCTTTTAATTGTTCTTCATATAGCACTCGACTGTAATTGTAATCAAGCAGAATTCATTATAGTTGGGATGTATAAAAATGTTCCCTCGAATTCATATGCAGAGGGAAGGGCTGAAAACACTTTCAAACCAACATAAATTTGCAGTAGATTACAGAAAATTGCTCAAATCGCATTATCCCAATATACTTCTCATAGTTCAATAAATATGTGTAAAATACATAAATTTGTAATATATTCATTCAGAAAGATGGCAGACAATCATAGCCTAATGGAGAAATCCGAAATTCTTCAAACATCACGAGGTCAATGTCCCTTCAAACAACCAGAGCAACAATTTACATGCGTAAATAGAATGTCCGGAAAATGTGAGTGACTGGGAGGAGCAGTTAAATAGCTGCAGAAATGAACAGATACAACTCGATGGTGCACGCAATAGATAAAACCACATGAAACAAAGATGGACAGACAAGATTAGGTTCACGAGAGATACTGGTGTAATCTTATCGTGAAGAAGAAAATGCTACACACACTCAGAGAGTTGCTCTGGTTCTGTCCAGTGAAGCGAGAAAATCACTCATAGGATGGGGATCTCATGGACCCAGAATCATCAAAGCATCATTCAAAACAAAGAACGAGGGAATCACAATGAATGTTATACATCAACGAATGATAGCGACGAAGATGACAGAGATCAGTTTGACACGAGGCTGAAACCAATCATAGCGAAGTGTTCAGGAAAGGACCTGATCATCGTAATGGGAGACCTAAACGCCAAAACACACACACAAAGTTACATGGGTATCACCGCACCACACCACGAGAACCAGATGGGTCTATTTGCATCAGTAAGAAATTCACAAGGTCAAAGGAAGACGTGAGAACCATGAGAGGAGTGGACACCTCCTAGTTGTGGTCAAGATGAAACTGAAGCTAAAGAAGCACTGGACAACAGAGGGAACAGCATTACAAAGGTTCAATACTGCCATCCTTCGAGACACTGACAAACTCAACGAATTAAATATAGCTCTCAACAACAGATTACAAGCCATACATAATCTACTCAAAGAAGATGAATCCACTATGAAGAACTACTGCAATAAATCAGAGGAGTACTAACTTCAGTATGTCACGAGGTTCTGGGCCCAACAAGCACCATCATAATGAGTGGATCTCGATCGAATTCGTGGACGGCGTTCAAGAAATGAAGAACGAGAATACAGCAATCGATCAGAGCAGAACAAGAGCAGAAAACGTCGAGGCACAAACTCAATACACAGAAACAAATAAGCAAGTGAAGAAAAGCATTAGAGCCGACAAGCACAAATGCGTGGAAGACCTGGAAACGACAAATGAAAGAATCGCAAGAAAAGAAAATCTGAGGCAACCATATGATATAACGAAGAAACTAACAGGGAAATATTGTAAACCAGAGTGACCGGTCAAGGACAAAGAAGGCAAACCAGTCACTGAGAGTTGAAAACAGTGGAACAGGTGAATACAGTAGTTTGAATAACCCTAGAATAGGTCAGCTACATTGAATCCTCCGGACATCGAAACAACACACACAGACCTTCCCACACACATGGTCACCAGACAAATGGAAATCGGAAAAGCAGTAGGACCAGACAATATATCGGCTGAAGTACCGAAGTCAGACACAAAAGCAACTACAAACATGCTCCACGTTCTAGTCACAGAGATTTGGAAGGAGGAACAAGTGCCGACAGACTGGAAATAAGGAAATCTCATCAAGATACAAAAGAAAGGAGATCTGAGCAAATGTGTAAACCACAGTGGCATCATACTACTATCAGCACCAGGGAACGTTTCCAACAAAGTGTTGTCGAACAGGATGAGAGATTCAGTAGACACCCAACCTCAAGATCAACAGTGTGGATTCCATAGGGGTCAGTCATGCACGGACCACACCGTGACATTACGGATTGTCGTTGAACAATCAATTGAATGGAACTCGTCACTATACATCAACTTCCTTGACTATGAGGAAGCGTTCGGCAGTTTGGATAGGAGAACCGAATGGAACCTTGTTTGACACTATGGTGTGAGTAGCTGAAAAAATCGTCAACATCATCCGGAATTTATACGACGGAATCATCAAAGCATCATTCAAAACAAAGAACGAGGGAATCACAATGAATGTTATACATCAACGAATGATAGCGACGAAGATGACAGAGATCAGTTTGACACGAGGCTGAAACCAATCATAGCGAAGTGCTCAGGAAAGAACCTGATCATCGTAATGAGAGAGCTAAACGCCAAAATCGGGATGGACACTACCGCTTATCGATATATCATGGGACTACATGAGCTGGGAGAGCGGATTGAGAATGAAGACAAATTTGCAAATCTATGTGCCTTCGATAAAATGGTTGCAGGTGACACAATACTCCGCCACAAACACATACATTAGTTACGTGGGTATCACCGCACCACACCACAAGAACCATATGATTCTATTTGTATCAGTAAGAAATTCACAAGGTCAGTGCGAACGAGAACCAGGAGAGAAGTGGACACCACCTGGTTGTGGTCAAGATGAAACTGAAGCTAAGGAAGCACTGGACAACAGGGGGAAACAGCATTACAAAGGTTCAACACAACCTTCCTTTGAGATACTGACAAATTAAATTGGATCAGTCGCATATATTATCATGTCAGTCCGCACACAATAAAACTAAAAAGTGGCTGTGAACATGGGAGGCAGTAATCAATAAAATGAACATAGCTTAAGAACAGTAAATCGTACAATATTAGTATATAGGTCAAAATAAAGCTTATAACAAGGGGGATATAGATATACATAATCTAGTTACTGAATATTTATACCATAATAATATATAAATAGTATTAGTCCATTAATAGGTCCCAGACGTTACTCGTGATGTAACCTTCACTAGGATATAACATATACCTCATCGTACAGAGTGGTATATAATCATGACGCTTGTAATTTAACTGTTTAGGAGAGAGGAAACGCTTAACGTGTGCTATGCTGAAATGTCGCCAAATCGATTGACCATAAGCTTTCAGAAAGTAGGTTTGCTTAAAATCAACAAGTCTTCAGGCTATAAAACAAAAAGATTGAGCTTGTTTATCCCTCTCCTGTTTCGACAATCACTGAGGAAAATCGAGGCGAATATGCAATTAATCATTGAGCATTAAACTCTTTGGTTGTGGTCTGTCAAATGCGAAACTCTCTTGGTGGGCTTTTGAACGGTGCTAATTATGCTCTCCCGTGCACTTGGTTTCCGTCATAAAATGCCCTTCACCATGTTGTGACTTGTATCTTGGGTTAATTATTTTTAAGGGTAGGTCAGTGTTTAATTTATATCGTTTTAATTGCCGAATTTGCGCAAAAAGGGTTTTTTGCTAGGGTACCTGTCCATAATCCTTTCCATGTGCTACGTTTCACGGAATGAAATGGTTAAAATCCCTAATTTCTTATATATATCGGCTTCCTCACATTAAAAATCACGATCTCCATTTCTTTGATACCTTGTAGGGTTAGTATAACTGACTCAACTCGGGTACTTGGTTTTTTAACAACAACCAATGTATTGTCTCAGGGCTACATAAATTTGTAAAAAGTTATACTTCTAGTCTCAAAAGTTCGGCTTTGGCTTCTCTCTGGTTCTATATTATGAACCCCTTCCTAGGTTTGAACCTTGTCATTAGTTCATTGATACTTAGGTCTCTTCTAATGGATGGCGCCATTCCAAGGCAGGATTTCAGGAAGAACTGATGTTTTTCCTTTCCATCTCGACGAGTGCATTGTGCAAACCCTATTATCAGTGTTTTGTCTTCTTCCATAGTGTAGTATTTAAGCTCAAATTCATAGTGCTGAATTAAATGAACTAAATGACTGGCAATTTTCTATGGTTCAACCTATGACCCTTACGGCAAACTATGCTATAAAGACGAAATAGCAACTAGTGCTTGCGCCAAACCCGCAGAGGTGAATCCTTGGAAAAAAATATATGTGATATTCAACGGGTTCAAGGTTATTAGGCATTATCAAATTACACAATTACAGTGAGAAAATAGTCACGTTAAGCGTACTTATCCAATTTCAGAATTGTTGGTGGGGATATTGTTGTTCACTTTGCTATGTGCATGGTTATCGTGACACTATTATTCCCACCCTCTATGTATTATACAGTATAGCGAAATTTGACAGTTAATGCTTCTTTGAGGATAGATCTTGATTTTAGAGGTGTGCTGGGTTACTAGGCCATATTACATCATACTATCATCCCTTCAAATGGTTCTAAGACTCACTCTCAGGCAATCACAGTGAAAATACGTCTGTATGCTGATAGGAATACATATACTATGAAATCCAGTTCGTTTGTTTATATCCGTGTCGCAAACTAGCCTACTGTGTTATAATGTATGGGGTCATAGACCAAAACTATCATCAAATATCCTATCTTGTCAAGGTACATGCCACCGTCTAGCCCATCTAATTGTAGCTATCTCTACATATTTCGCCAACTTTTCTTGGTTTTAATTATGGAGGGCGGTGGCTGTCGTTGATTTTTTTCTTTTCAGCTGAAAGGCATCGACACATTCCTGTAATAGTCACACCGCTTTGTATTTGTTTGATGTTCGGTTGTGCTGAAAAATGGAAAAAAATTTTGCCTAACAGATTTCTTCAATCTTTACATAGAGTAAAGGCACTAGTACAAAGCCTTTCTTAAACCTTCATTATTGATGACCTTAATGGTAACGGGAGTTTAAATGGAAAAGATATAGGTACCTAAGTCGTTTTATTTTTAATGTCTTTTAACAAGAAGTATGTATTTTATAACAACGCATCTGATGCTTTCTAACACTTGGCATGACCATATTCATAGAATAATTCCTATTAATTCTGAAGGCTGTGCTAGAAAGTAAGTTAACGACTACCAGTCTTATCATCGCTTATCTACTGATGACAACGCAGTGATACAACATTGTCAATGTTTAGTATGTTGAGTTTACATTGAGGACCTATAGTGTGATTGTATAAGTTATCGTCCGTTTCTCCAAGGTATGCTGCGTTACAGACACAGGTTGGTGCCATAGTATTCTAAGAGAACGCTTATTCGTGTACATGCTTGTCTATATATTCTCGTAAACTCACTTCACAACAAGTGAGACACGTTTGTAAGCTGCTAAATTTCTTTCCAAATATTTCTTGGTCTTCAGCTCAAAATAGGGAGTAATTAGTCTTATCTTCATGGTTACGAATGACACGTTTTATTCAAAAATTCCTGAAATGATTTGTGTACTGGTTTTCCATTGTATCGTCCATTGATTGCTTACAGTATTTCCTTGTGTCTACGTCAACCAGTCAGTCAAACGGAAAAAGCCTTGAGAAATGGCAGAGGGGACTCCAAATACACGAGAGATAAATCGCACCGATTCTTTAGGAGACGTATCGTGCATCGATAGCGTGGGATTCTAGAGTCTCAAGAAAGCCCATTGTCCTATCTGCCACAAAGTTTGACCATCGGAAGCTCCAATACGTTCTTTAGGGCATTGTTCCAGTAGACCAGGAATAACATTTCGTATTCAGCTCGACGCAGTTCTACATTTTTCAATTACAAACCGATAGGATTACTGTAGCGCTTGTGATAAGCGCGTTGTACACTCCAATTAATACACGGCTTTGTATATTGACATGTTCTACTGCTCATAGAAATTTCAAATGTAGTCATTATGAATCAACAAAAAACTTGATTTGCGCGGTTGACATAATTAGGTGATTTTTTAATTGGTCTGTCAGACAGTTTGGAAATATACTACGTATCGGTTATTCCAACTGTATATTTCAACAACTATGGAAATTCGTAGGAAAGAAAACACACTGGTCTAAGTCTTTTTTTTCTAAGTCGATAACCTCGAAAACAGAATGGATACGTAAAAACATCTTAAGGTAATGAAAAACATCACTTTGGTATTTGTGTTTACCCACAATATACCGATATTAATGGTTACCTTCATACAGTAAATAAAACGATTATTATTTAGATGGTCGCCAATAGGCCTTCTAATTCATTTGCATATATTTCCTAAATTGTCAGGGATTTTATTTTATTTTACATGGTTATCAGTTTTAAATCTACTATATGCATTTTAAATGTTTCCCTAAGGCTTTTAAACATTCAGTTATGTATCTTTAACACTGTATTGTTTTCTAAGCCTTAATAATCTGGTATTATATGTTTTTTTCTGTTTAGGTTTCTACTACGTAAAAGCGCCATATGGCCACATAATTGTGATTTTTCTCGTGTGGCACCTAACATTTTCGATAACTTCATTTATTTTTCTAAACATTCATATACACGCGGAAATCTTGTATTTTAACTCAATTTTCGTTTGCTACCTCACTTACTAAAAGCGCCATTTTATTGTGCTTACTAGCTGGGTCTTATACCTTTATTTATTCATATTTAACTTCATTAAAACATTTTATTTTGGTCATCATTATTGTTGCTACTGGGCGAAGATCTTATAACAAATTTAGTTCAGAAAATTCCAATTTTTTGTACCTCAACTATTCCATGTCCGCTTCTTATATTCGTCGTGATACACTTGTTTCTAATCCCTGTTCTCTATCCATACTTTCTGGGTCATCTATAAATGCCAATGAGCATAAAGATGTTTCATCACTTTCTACGATTAGATCTTATCCTGATCAAGCAATGCCTTCAAAGCATAGTCCATCAGGCGGTCAGTTACAACAAGGTAATCAAGGCAGTATTCATTCACCTAAAATGTCACCTGATTCAACTCTAATTCAGCTTTCTACACCAAGTTTTGTTTCTTATTTAAATTCCACTACAAGTCTTGGTATATCAAGCGGAAATTCTATCACATGCGATAGTTTTCTTCGATCAGCACTTTTATCAGACGGGTTAGAAAAGCAGTGTGTCGGAAGTTCAACAAATCCTCACATAACTCACTTTCATGATCCATCTGCGCTACCAAATATCCATCCATGTTCACTACTACGTCCACGTGCTATGACAACATCAAACGCTTCAAGATCTGGCACACCCGTCGGAAATACGCCTACATCCGGCTCTTCAGCATGTGCATCTGCCCCAACTAGCACAACTCCTGTTAAAAAGTCTTCAAGGCGTAATCCTTGGGGTTCTGAGACGTATTCAGACTTAATTTCAGTTGCTATACGTTCTTATCCAGACAAACAAGCAACTTTACAACAGATTTATGACTTCATAATTACTCATTATGAGTATTTTCGGGAGCGTAGTGATCCAACAAGTTCTGCTGGATGGAAGGTGAGTAAAATATTTTGTTACATATAACACTTGTTTCTGTTTTTATATTCAAAATTTTTGAACAATTTCTGGTAGTAGTGAATCAAATACTACCACCAGTTTATTAATTTCACTTGATAGTACAGCATGAGGATTCTGTAATATACCCAGTCCTTAGAGTTCACCAACTAAAGGTATTCGCATCACATTACCCACCTCTTAATCGATGGGTATTAGTTACTGTAATTTGTGTTTCTCCATTGTCGATCCCTTTCAAAAATAAATCGATTAAGCACTGGTGATTGTGTCCTTTTGTATTATGTTATTCAAAATATCAGTAGGAGTGGCTTAGCGGTTAAACCGTTCGACTCTTGGTCAGTAAGTCCTAGGCTCAGATCCCCCACTACCTCGGTTTTGGGGGACTAAGTAATATATCTAACCCTTCATTATATAGTGTAACTCACACCCAAGTACTTGGTGAATGAGTTTGTTAAATCTAAAATTCAGTCGTCAAATTATCATCTTAACTTCAAGACGATTTTCATGTTTTCTTTGCTTAGTATATATCAATATTTCAATCAGTAAATTTTCGTCGCCATCTGATATATTCACTTTGCATGTACATACAAGTAAACATAGTATACCTTCACTATCATCTTATTTTACACCAGGGCTTACTAATAATTTACTCTTGTTGTTTGGGTAATTAATATCGTCTAAATTTTAAAATTTATTATTTAGAAGGTCGAACGACCATTTTCTTCCCCAAATGACCTTTGTTCTAAGGACACATATCCTAGACTGGTTTTGTTCTGCCATTCTACCTCACATACATATTATTGTTTATCTTTTAGTAGACTGGTAGTCTTACAGACACAACATTTGATCAGGGCTAACAGACATTTATTGCTCCATCAATATATTACGTCTGTCATGGTTATTTTGAGATCAGATTTTTCGCTGACTGCTTCTTTACCACTAGCCTGTCTTTCGAAGGAATTTCATTACGGCAATTATTTCAGATTTATTTATTTATATGGTCCTGTCCCTCTTTTTTTCCTACCCTACTGATTTCTGTGTAGTCAGCTTCAATGTTCGAGTGTAAACATGTAGACCCTAATTACACGGGATGACTTTCCACCCACAATAAAATAATCATAGATTTTTATGCGTTTTATTTCCGCGTATTCTTATGATGTATGTATGTGAGGTTTATTAGGTTGCAGATATACTCAAACATTAGCCAATCGTCTGACTGTTTAGCCTTTATTGAATGATTATCATGCAAATCTTAAAAAACATCTTATTTCAATCCCTTCAAATAAAATTTCATCTTGGTTTTGCTTGTTTTTTTTAAAGAGCCTTTAAAAGTAATCCAAACATTATTCAGGAATATTTCACTGATCCCGTCTACTTTTTAGTATATACTGAGGTGATCAGCTACTCAAAAGGCCCAAAACTACGATTATACCACACTTGCCAATCCAGAAAGTATTAGCAATAATCTTATATAGTTTGCCAAACATAACCACACATTTTTATCCAATATGTTTAATCTGACTGTACAGCTAGACCCTTATGCAAATTTAAACATGGAGATTTATAGTTAGATATGACATTAAAACCAAGTGAATCAGTAGAAACTTTTACATTCACACTAGTTCAATCTACATTAATTTTCATAATGTGAGATATACGATATGTATTGCGTAGTATGTTCATTTAGCAACACGAATTCACCGGTTAATAAATAAAGAATGATATATCTCAAACAGTGTAGTGTACAGTTTATAAAATTTTCAAAGTGTTTCATGGGAATTTTTGATGACTTTGCTATTGCTTACCGGATTGTATTCACTGTTCTCTACTTGCTGTGAAACATGGTTTGAATAAAATTTCAGTTACTGTTTTCTTAGAAGCTGTGATTACTTAGTGAAGTTATTGAAGTTGATGTTTGACAACTTCGTTTCCGAAAAATGGCATCTAGTGATGACATGGTTATATGGTAATAATTAGGTTTGTCAGCTTGTATTTGTTTTTAGTGGAGATCATCTACGAGTTATTAGCGCCGTCAAGAAATGTGGCATGCACAACATCCCAGAGGCTTCCAACCAGTGTCCAAGACTCGAACCATATTCCACTCACTTCAATTTCGGAAGTCGGGTAGTATCGCTAGCATTCACAGTTTGGGTCACACTCAGGTACACAAACCTGTAAATGGTAAATAAGTGTTATTAGATTTTGGATGCTTTCTTGCTGAGAACAATTTACTGACTCTTAGATACTGTGGAGCAAGCGAAAAACAAGGTTTCATTCTGTTTTCTAGTTCTGCCATTAATGCAAGCTTCTACGCCTGACAGGCTAACCTTATATATGATCTGTCCGGCTGTACTCAAAATGCCACCATCCCCTCTCAAAAAGTAAGTTTTAACTGTGTTTTCAGATCGAGAGGGTATGAAGCAATTAAGTTAGATCATCGCTTGTTAGCAAATCACAATTCTATTGATCAAGTTCTATGCGCATTTATCTCTTGTTAGGTATGTGAACATCCTAATGAATACAAAAATGATGGATTCCTATAAAATATGTGGACAATTACAGTTAAGTGATTGTATGCATACACTTCTTCCATCTTACTGAGAAATGTTATTTACATAGATATTTTATAGAATGCACAAATGCCGTATCCAACATAGTTGTAAAGTGGATAAACACTTGGTTCGTTCCTCTACAGTCTTAAGATCCAAAGTAAATTTTTGTATAATTCTAAAAATACAAACATTGCTAAAGTGCCAAAACCGTTCAATGTCAGTGTTAGATTCCAACCAATAGTTATTAACTATCCTAAAGAGCATCTGCTATGAAGGAATTTTTTAAGAAAATCAATGATTCTTAGCTCTTTAACATGAAGTAATAGAATAGTAATCGTCAGATCAATACAACAATAAGATTTGGCTAAGTAATGGTCACTCACTGGACTGGATTATTGACTAGTCTCGCCCGAATGAACTGATATCAAAAGTAAAACCACTATACAGAAGAATATACCTATTTAATAAAAGAATGTGCTCACATACAGACTATAAAACGGAAAATAAACATGATTTAATGTCATCAAAAATTGACCAACAGGCTTATTTCTTACTCATCAAATAAGCACTTTTAACATGTTTCTTGAAATATTTGAGCTATGATGACAACTATGTTTATGTCATATCAAAGTTCTAAAGCAGTCAGTACGATGCATAACAAATATTCCGGTACAACCTTTCAGTCAAACCGATTAACATTTCGTAGCACCAATGATCGGTTATAGCTGATGTACATTCACATATACTACCTCTTGACTGATCTCAGCTCTAATCGAAAACTGTGATTTCATTACTGAGTAAATGACGTATTACTAACAATCGTAAGTGATTAGTTAACTGTTGTTGTGTGCAAAAACCTGGTACGAATTCGATTTACACAGGTCTGTCTAAGTGTGTATGCAAATGAATTTCAAGTGGTTGAAGTAGATAGTTATTCCAATACAGCCCTAAAATTTGTCTTAATGTCAAACTAATATCAGTTATACTGCGGATAAATCTTTACTGGCAGTCGATAAATTAACAAAATCATAAAGCTAACATCTTATTGGTTATGTTGGAACGTCTCTAGTTATTATTATTATTATTATTATTATTATTATTATCATCATCATCATTATTATTATTATTGTTATTGTTATTATTATTATTATTATTATTATTATTATTATTATTATTATTATTATTATTATTATTAGCTTTATTCAACGTTATATTTTTGGCACAACATAGAATTCTCAGCATTAAGTATTTCAACAAGTTTTCTTTTCTTATACCTTGATCTATTGTGACGATAAATTTTGAATGATGACCGGTTAGATGTTAGGAGTTCGGTAATCCACATTTGAATAATGTTCATTCGTTTCAGTGCATATTGCCAGCCACCATGATGTCGCTGATTGTACATTTTTGTATCACGTATAGCGAAAGGTTGTAAACTTTTCATAAACGCGCCTGAATAAATTGTGCGCACAATAGACATAATGATGTGCTAAAACAAACAACAAAACAAATAACTTGATGAAATATCTAGATCGGAGGAACAGGTAGCCCAGATATTGAAGCAGGCCGCCAAGTTCGTTCAAGAGAGGATATGAAACCCGGATCCAGTTGAGATCAATATGCAATATATTGCAATTAAATAAAATACCCTTTGCATGTTGGCTTATTTGTCAAATACACAGCAATTGGATCGTTGGTCCTAACCTACAAATCCATCTGGAAAGCCATGTAGTGTTGTTAATGTCCTGAAGATTTGATAAGCGAAACTTTATGGTGACAGGTATATCTTGTCTTTTCCATATTTCTTAATAACATTACTTATACTTACATATTTACATACTCTTGCTAATCCTCGTATAGGAGTATAGGCCGCCAAACACCATTCTCCATCTAATTCAGTTCTGGACAATCTTTTCCAATTATTTCCAGTTGCTATTCACCCTTCTGACGTCTGCTTCCGATTCTCGGCCCAATGTGTTCCTTGGTCTTCCTCTTTTCCGTTTCCTTTCAGGATTTCAAGTTAGCGCTTGCTTCATGATGCAGCTTAGTGATTCCTATCCACCTCGAACGTATTTTCCTAATTTTCTTTAGCTAGAAGTTGGCCTGTTCTCTCCCATAGTAGGTTGATGATGGAATCTGGTCAACGAACACTGCGTGTCTTGCGAATACAATTGTTTAGAAATACCTATACTTTTTTGATGATGGTTGTTGTAGTTCCCAAAGTCTCATTTTCGTACAATAGAACTGTCTTGGCGTTCGTATTGAAGATTCTCACTTTGGTGTTGGTTGATAGTTGTTTCGAGTTCCATATGTTCTTCAACTGTAGTAATACGGCCCTTACTTTGCCAATCCTCACGGTTACGTCTGCATCAGATCCTCCTTGTTCATCGATGATGTTGTCCAGGTACGTGAGAGTTTCCACCTCGTCCAGAGTTTCTTCATCAAGTGTGTTGGTGTTCTCCGTGTTGTATTTGAGGATCTTGGTTTTCCTCTTATGTATGTTGAGGCCCACTGCTGCACAGGCTGCTGCTACACTGGTTGTATTGATCTGCATTTGTTGGTGTGTGTGGGATAGAAGAGCCAGGTGATCTGCAAATCCCAAATCGTCTGGTTGCATGCAAGCTGTCCATAGTATTCCGTGCTTCCCCTCAGATGTGGAGGTCTTCACAATCCAGTCAACCACCAGAATGAACAGTTTTGTCTGAAACTGGCCCCCACATCGAATGCGTCTGTCAGCTGTCCTACATACACGACTTTGCAGTGTAGTCCGTCGTATGAATTCTGGATGATGTTGACGATCTTAGGTAAACCACAGTATCGAGGATGATTTCATAGGGTTCTCCTATCGACGCTGACGAGCGCCTTCTCATTGTCAAGGAAGCTGATGCATAGTGACGAATTCCATTTGATTGGTTGCTCAACAGTTATTCGTAATGTCGCGATTTGGTCCGTGCACGATCGATCCTTACGAGATCCATACTGTTGATCTTGATGTTGCTAGTCTATTGAATCTTTCACCCGGTTCGACAACACTTTGTTGGAAACGTTTCCTGGTGCTGATAGTAGTGTGAGATGCCACTGTGGTTTACACATTTGCTCAGATCTCCTTTCTTTTGTATCTTGATGAGATTTCCTTATTTCCAGTCTGTCGGCACTTGTTCCTTCTTCCAAATCTCTGTGACTAGAACGTGGAGCATGTTTGTAGTTGCTTTTGTATCTGACTTCGGTACTTCAGCTGATATATTTTCTGGTTCTACTGCTTTCCCAATTTCCATTTGTCTGGTGACCATGTGTGTGGGAAGGTCTGTGTGTGTTGTTTCGATGTCCGGAGGATTCAATGTAGCTGACCTATTCTAGGGTTATTCAAACTACTGTATTCACCTGTTCCACTGTTTTCAACTCTCAGTGACTGGTTTGCCTTCTTTGTCCTTGACCGGTCACTCTGGTTTACAATATTTCCCTGTTAGTTTCTTCGTTATATCATATGGTTGCCTCAGATTTTCTTTTCTTGCGATTCTTTCATTTGTCGTTTCAAGTCTTCTCCCTGTTCTTTCAAGGTTGCTTCCTGTCTCACGCAATGCAAAGTAGGTTTGGGCATCGGGTCATCATCCCTATACCGTAGAAAAGAACATTGCTAAAGTATACTAACCAGAATAAACAAATTAAACATTTCTTGTATTCAATCTAATGATATCTTATTTACCATCACTTTTGTATATAGTCAAGATCAACTGAAGATAATGCCGTGTTTTGTTTTCTTTTTTTCTTGAGTATTCGAGGGCATAAATTAACCTGGTTCATAAGTCAACTGTTTACAGTTATTGTCGCTTCCGCGGTTCCCTTCAATCATCTCTTGTGAATATTGGTCATCTCATTCTTAAGAAATTACTCAACATAATAGAATTCATATGTCATTACATTAATGCATCCTAAATAATATCAGACATGCTTCTTAAATTTCTGTTTATTGTCATCATAACGTTTACCTGTTGTAATTTTTGTTTGGTGTTATAATAAACTGTTTGGCATCACCGACTATTACTCCCTACTAAACAATGTATCATTACTCGTTTGTTCACGACTGCCGACTAACTAATTTTTGGCAGTCATGTTCCTATAGTTTTCAAAAATCTTTGTGCCCAATCTACAGAACTAAGAAAAGTTGGGTGTATTTTTGAACTTCCCATGTTCCTAAAACTTGATTCCTACCTTTTAATTATTCCACCTAACTATTCTTTGATGGAAGGAAGTAGTCAGGTCGTGTCAAAGAATCCCACTTTCAGAACTAGGGAATTACAGCTCCGAACTCCTCTCTATTTATTTTGGTTCAGGTAGCTAGAATACAAGCATTTATTCCTATACTTAAAGTGCTCCCAAGCCAGGTATATGGTGTATACTTGACAAATTAATAAAAGCAAAATATCCTGTGTAGTGATTTTCTAAGTCTTGTTATTTTCGCATTATTGGTCAGTTTGGTTTTTTAAAAATCTTCAGCATAAATAATTTCCGTAGTTTGCGCGCTGTCAACATATACCCAGTTAAGTATTACTTTAATTCTTGTTTTGCTTATTTATTGATATCGATACGATCAGTCTACTGTCCTTTGGTGATACTGGTCACCACGTGCCATTCTACCAAAATCTAAAAGTACATATTTTGTCCCGTTTAGTTCATGTATTCATCGACCAACTCTCTTAGCCTTGATTTTTGAAGGTCATATATACTGTCTACCCTTACACATCTTTAACATCCACGTAATTTACATATATATATATATACGGCTGTGTGTGTATGTCTATGTCCATTTATCTATTTTTGTTAATCCAATACATGTTTCGTTTGTAAATTCCACATGGAGAATGTACACATGTTGTTTGTAAAAATGATGTTTTGTCTCAGTCCATTTATATACAATCTCACCAATAAAAAACTTGGATTTCAAATTATGTACTGGTATCGTTGTTGTAGCTATGTTATGCCACAAGGATCAGCACATCTCCCCATTAGGGTATTGCGATTGTGACATCAGATAAATAAAACAATGAAAGGCGATTAAGGAGCCTTCATTTCTCAAACAAATATCACAATTATCATTTTCTTTTATGGAAAGAATATGCAAAATATACTTCATTTCGGGTGCATAACTAATGAATGTGTGTATTATGGTCGCTAACTTGACCATGGAGAATTAATCAGTAAAGTCAAAAGCTTAATATATTAATTCTCAACAATTTTTTTCTAATGAAGGAATTTGTGCTCATCTTTATCCACATTGTGAGCGGCCCACACTCTTGGTAAACATCACCAGGATATGGTAAAGAAGACAAAAGAGTAGTGTCTCTAAGGTACCCGTAGAGCAGCAATTACAAAATGGCTCCATGCAGTGAGAAATCTGAGCCTAACAGTAGCCTAAGAACTACGTGCTATAAATGCAAGTCCTGGTCAGGTTTTCATGGGTTTCTCCGAAAATTGTCTTCGAACGCCATTTTTCAGAATAATTACTTCAATGAGTATGGGCGCGTATACCGGCGATATGTCATAAGAACGTTAATACGGAAATCAAGGAGTTGTTCGAATTTAAGTAGGCAGTTGTTACAGTTGTCTTAGTTTTGTGCTTTAAATCCTGTATAACGGCCTATTTTCCCCTCTATCCCCAGATGCTTGCATATGCAGTAATATGAAGACATGATGGTCTAGTTGTATGTTACTTGATATCCAGTTATATTGTTTGACCAAAGCATTTGTTGTTTAATCTGTTCATCTTTTGAAGTGTACACCACCTCATCAAGTTTCTGTGAAGTCCCATTTGATAATGTAATGTACGATTTGTTGAGGAAAATTGTTGTTTTAGACATGGTGAATAGCTTATGTCAACACATTTACATATCGGAAATCATAGTCCGAATCAACCTTTCTCTTGATACTTTGGTCTTGTGGATAATCACTAGTGAGCAAGTAAAGAATGAGTTACATACAACATAAAATTGTACAGATTATGTATCAGTTTATTTTGTAGGTAATTTTTTATCTGATATAAAAAGTAATTTATCATTGATAATTAGTGTTCGTTTACTTGGGATTAAACTACAGCGTTCATTCATAATAGTATTAGGGGAAAAAGTGTATTTTATAAATTTGAAATCAGCTATGGATTGCTTTAATGCACTGATCACAATTCGTGAACTATCTTCGTATTTGAAAGTTTGTGCTCTTTTGATTTGAACCATTGAACTAGATAAAACGTATAACATCTCAACCTTACTGCTAAGGAAATTTTGCTACAAAATCCTGTTTATTTCTGATTATTTTGTTCATTTTGATACAACTACACACCAAAAAATAGTATACACTACACAAATATAGATATCGCACTGAGAAATAAAGGAGAGAAGGGGGAGTAAAATCAAAAACAAAAAGTAAAATGAAAAAGAATAGTGTGTAGTCGCAGATACAGTTCAAATAGAAATACGACCAAGAAAGACTTATTTCAGATAAGGTAGTCCCTCTCACTGTTGTGAAGAATGTAAAAGAGAACTACAGCCGGACCACCACTGACTTCTAATCTGACCATGTTTAAAGCGATTGAATTGTAACTGGGGAGTCGTAATAGACCGACAGGAAGTAGTTCTACGCCGCTTCCTTCCATGCATAATACGGAGTGATGTCAGAAACTGGTCACCTCCGCGTTTTCCACCCAGTTCCATCATCGAGAAATACTGGCTGGACTGAGAGAGGCTGCGATGTTGTTCAAGCTACCGTAGTCGAAATTTCATGAGTGACGCTAACCATATTGAACCTCTGTATTATTAATATTGTGTTGTCACTGGGTGTCAGAAATCATTTGAACAACGACGCTCGAACACAGTACATGCGATTTTTATATCATTATAAATACTTCACTTTTGTCATCGGATAATTGTTGGGACGGCTTCCGAGAATTATGAACTTAATAATAATGGCAAGTGAGAGCATGATAATGTACATCATACGCAAAAATATAGTTTTTTATCATGTACTTCATTTGGAGTAGTAATGTCTCCTAAGATTGAATAGTAGTACTAGTATTAGTATAAGTAATTTAGCAGTGGGTGAGTCATTATTAGCAATCAGTCATAAGAGATTGGCGAATGAAATCTGAGGCTTATTTACCTAGTACTCTACTTTCACTGATTTGATTATTTCTTTTACTTCCTTGTTCAATCGTAGTGTATGATATGTTGTGTTATTATTGCTTTTCCTATGTTTGAGATAGCAGGATATTTTAGGCATTTACATATATGCTGATTCAAAAATGAAGCACTTTTTTTATTGATAGAATTCAATCCGTCACAACCTGTCATTACATGATCGATTTACGAAATGTCCAAAATCATCAGACAATACAAAGTCATCATATTGGAGAATTAATCCAGACGTAGCCGCTAAGCCATATGTGCGTCGACGAGCTTGTTCTATGGATACTACCAATTTAAAGAGACCCGGATCTGGCAATTATGGGAAAATAAATAACCGATCAGGTGGTGGTGTTTCTCACCGAACCGTATCCAGTCATCCTGGTCATCGCATTCATGTGCCTTCAGCCGATAGCGACATTACCAAACCTTCTTTATCACCTGTTTGTGAGCTACAGTATCCAGTGGATATTAACTATTCATCTACTAAAGTTACTGACAGTCGTTCAAATACCGAATGCAGTAAGGATTACAATGAACCAAATGTTCTAGATTGTTTGACTTCATCTCCATCTGTTGACACTTGTACCGCAACTAAATCTATGAATTTTTATCATTGTTCACAACAAGCAAATACTACTCACAACAATAATTCAATACCGACTTGTATCAATATTCACTGGCAGAATGCAAAATCTTTAACACATTTATCGAATCCTCAAGTATACAGTTCGAATCCTCCCAATGGGATATTCAACTCTGGATTCTCTGGTCTGTCATGTTCTACTGACCAACCACCAAGTCGATGGTAATTTTCATCAATGCTATGTGTTGTTGAAACTTTTGTGTTTTTTTTTAATGATTGTTCGTGAAAACTTCTAGTTATTATAGCGCGGATAACAACAGCAAAAAACTGTATATTTTTCTCATTGTATAGGTGTTATCAAAATCTCCTATTCATTGTTGCAACTGTAAACTAAATTTCCCAAAAACTATTGAGGATAAGTAGTAGGTAGTAGTAGTAGTATTGAATTTAGTATATGATATGGAAATTCCCATGTCTGTCTAAAACGTACTATACTGGTTGTAAACTGGTCAGCACTTAAAGCCAGGGCAAGGGTTTTTATTTAATCGGTTTTGCTATTTTTTCTTTTGTATCGAAAGGTTCGGTATTTCTATTCTCGAGGAATTCATTTACTCATCTCTCCAGTTCTTTAAATTTTGTAGCAGAAATGAAACTGATTGAAAAAATCAGGTTTGATTTTCTGCTCAAACATTAGAACAGGGGGTTTAGTGGATGTGGACAAATCTTCGCTTTTCGAACTTGTAATAATTAAGTATTTGAGTAGTTTATCAGAAATTTTTAGTAGTTGAATAAAAAGTTGTAATGTGGCATTCTTATAATTTTTTACGAATGTAGATGGTCCATCGTCACGCAATCGCAACAGTTGTCCACAAAACTCCCATTTATATTGGTTAATTAGATGAACTAGATTTTTTTTCTGTTATCAATATTCATTACTTTATTATTCATGAAACGAGCGCATTCCGTTTAACACGTAACAAATACAAATACTTTACCGTATTTATTCATGAAGGTCAACTAAGTTAACGTGTAGGTCAGTCGGTCAGCTACAACGTAGGACCAGGCACGTATATGCATCGTTCCAAGTTGTTACACCTGATTAGCACAACAAGATGAACACCGAATCCGTAGAAGTAGTTACTTCAATGGTGGTAATGTATAAAATAAAGATTATGTATAAGGATATAGTACAGGTTCACACTAGAAGTTAGTGATTTCAAGCAATGATGCCACGTTTTGCTTTGGCCTCCCCTAACGTTCTTCCAACCATCTCCAACACCGGTTAGCATTGCACGTCGTGGTAATCGGTCTTCACGCATACGTAGCATGTGAGCCAACCATCACAGTCGATGAAGATTCACAACCCCATCAACTGATTTACCATCATTCCGTGATACCCTGCGTTTAACCTCACTATTACTTACCCGGTGATCCCAGCAGACGCCAGCAATATTTCCAAGGCCTCTGCGGTCAAATACTAGTAGCTTACGAGTATCTTCTACTCTTAATGGCCATGTTTTGCTGCCGTAAAGTAGAACAGAATGAACTGCCGTGCAGTATACTCGTCCTTTTATTGATAGACCGATATTTCGCCTTCGCCATAGGTGACGAGCTAAACGAGTTTTTCGAATTTGTGCAGAGATTTCGCCTGACACCAACTCATTAGGGCTGATCAGACTTCCAAGATAAGTGAAGTTGTCGACACGCTCAACTACTTTAATCCCTATCCTCAGTCCAGGTGTTGACACAGGCCAGTTCTGAAGTAATAATTTGCTTTCTGATGGGGAGAAACGCATCCCAAACATCCTGGCATTGTTGCTTAGTGCTACCAAAAGACTGCTTCTAAGTCGGCAAGTGGACCTCCTGGTAAGAGATCAATACCCGAGAATTCAGTCGACGAGAAAGGTATTTCCATCAGTAGGTCTATGATGAAGTTGAACAAAAATGGAGATAGTGGACAGCCTTGCAGTACAGCAGTTGACATTGCGAAATCAGATGACAGTTCGCCATAAGCCCTAAATCGACTGGTAGTGTTCAAGCAAAGGGCCTTCACAAGGTTTATATACATCTAAGGTACACCTTTCAATGACAGATATTGCCATGGAACCTCTCGGTCTAAGGAGTCAAATGCTGCTTTTAAGTCAAGAAAAACTATCATTCTCGTAAGCCTATAAGTAAGCCTGTATAGTCTCAATAATCTGACCGCATCCTTAATACATAATAATATAGCAATAGATGGTAGTTTTAAACGTACTAGAGTTAATCGAAAGATGATGCTTACTTACTTACATCTGTTATTCCTCGTGGAGCTTAGGATAACGATATGGATTCTACGTCCTACTCTGTTCTGGACAGTCTTTTCCAATTATTTCCAGTTGCTATTCACCCTTCTGACGTCTGCTTCCGATTCTCAGCCCAATGTGTTCCTTGGTCTTCCTCTTTTCCGTTTCCTTTCAGGATTTCAAGTTAGCGCTTGCTTCATGATGCAGCTTAGTGATTCTTATCCACCTCGAACGTATTTTCCTAATTTTCTTTAGCTAGAAGTTGGCCTGTTCTCTCCCATAGTAGGTTGATGATGGAATCTGGTCAACGAACACTGCGTGTCTTGCGAATACAATTGTTTAGAAATACCTATACTTTTTTGATGATGGTTGTTGTAGTTCCCAAAGTCTCATTTTCGTACAATAGAACTGTCTTGGCGTTCGTATTGAAGATTCTCACTTTGGTGTTGGTTGATAGTTGTTTCGAGTTCCATATGTTCTTCAACTGTAGTAATACGGCCCTTACTTTGCCAATCCTCACGGTTACGTCTGCATCAGATCCTCCTTGTTCATCGATGATGTTGTCCAGGTACGTGAGAGTTTCCACCTCGTCCAGAGTTTCTTCATCAAGTGTGTTGGTGTTCTCCGTGTTGTATTTGAGGATCTTGGTTTTCCTCTTATGTATGTTGAGGCCCACTGCTGCACAGGCTGCTGCTACACTGGTTGTATTGATCTGCATTTGTTGGTGTGTGTGGGATAGAAGAGCCAGGTGATCTGCAAATCCCAAATCGTCTGGTTGCATGCAAGCTGTCCATAGTATTCCGTGCTTCCCCTCAGATGTGGAGGTCTTCACAATCCAGTCAACCACCAGAATGAACAGTTTTGTCTGAAACTGGCCCCCACATCGAATGCGTCTGTCAGCTGTCCTACATACACGACTTTGCAGTGTAGTCCGTCGTATGAATTCTGGATGATGTTGACGATCTTAGGTAAACCACAGTATCGAGGATGATTTCATAGGGTTCTCCTATCGACGCTGACGAGCGCCTTCTCATTGTCAAGAAAGCTGATGCATAGTGACGAATTCCATTTGATTGGTTGCTCAACAGTTATTCGTAATGTCGCGATTTGGTCCGTGCACGATCGATCCTTACGAGATCCATACTGTTGATCTTGATGTTGCTAGTCTATTGAATCTTTCACCCGGTTCGACAACACTTTGTTGGAAACGTTTCCTGGTGCTGATAGTAGTGTGAGATGCCACTGTGGTTTACACATTTGCTCAGATCTCCTTTCTTTTGTATCTTGATGAGATTTCCTTATTTCCAGTCTGTCGGCACTTGTTCCTTCTTCCAAATCTCTGTGACTAGAACGTGGAGCATGTTTGTAGTTGCTTTTGTATCTGACTTCGGTACTTCAGCTGATATATTTTCTGGTTCTACTGCTTTCCCAATTTCCATTTGTCTGGTGACCATGTGTGTGGGAAGGTCTGTGTGTGTTGTTTCGATGTCCGGAGGATTCAATGTAGCTGACCTATTCTAGGGTTATTCAAACTACTGTATTCACCTGTTCCACTGTTTTCAACTCTCAGTGACTGGTTTGCCTTCTTTGTCCTTGACCGGTCACTCTGGTTTACAATATTTCCCTGTTAGTTTCTTCGTTATATCATATGGTTGCCTCAGATTTTCTTTTCTTGCGATTCTTTCATTTGTCGTTTCCAGGTCTTCCACGCATTTGTGCTTGTCGGCTCTAATGCTTTTCTTCACTTGCTTATTTGTTTCTGTGTATTGAGTTTGTGCCTCGACGTTTTCTGCTCTTGTTCTGCTCTGATCGATTGCTGTATTCTCGTTCTTCATTTCTTGAACGCCGTCCACGAATTCGATCGAGATCCACTCATTATGATGGTGCTTGTTGGGCCCAGAACCTCGTGACATACTGAAGTTAGTACTCCTCTGATTTATTGCAGTAGTTCTTCATAGTGGATTCATCTTCTTTGAGTAGATTATGTATGGCTTGTAATCTGTTGTTGAGAGCTATATTTAATTCGTTGAGTTTGTCAGTGTCTCGAAGGATGGCAGTATTGAACCTTTGTAATGCTGTTCCCTCTGTTGTTCAGTGTTTCTTTAATTTTAGCTTCATGAGGTCACAACCTTTTGTTTACTGGACTGTTTAACAGCGTTCTCCTTGTTTTTACATCTTTTAGATAATGCTTTTTGATACAAAATATGGGACTTATATGCACTTTCGATGCAAACCTCAATTTTAATTTCTATTAAAAAGTAAAACACTGAATTATCGGAGTAGTTGTACACAAAATATAAGATAAAAAATTAAAAAATTTTAATTGTCTGTCATTTGATAAATAGGTAACTGAAGGATTTCAGTTTAATAGGATTTTACACTTTGTAACCGTTATGGCGTGGGTTATGTTGATTGACTTAAGAGATTACTTTTTCTACCTGTTTTTGTCTTAGTGATTATGTGGTATTGTTTTCTGCTGTTCCGTAAGTCGTCAGTAGTCTACTTCAATTTACTGCATAGATTTTAATGAAATTGCAAAGCGTTATTGTTTATTTATAAATGTTTAAAATTTCATCCATAGTTTATATCAGAATAGTTGATGTGACACTATAAAGCCCGAAATCCACAGGCATATTTTGTATGACTTACAACGTGTATAAGTTGTAACTGGTTGAGGAAATATTCAAAGCTTTATGGTTTCGAAATTAGGTTATCTAAATGATCAATAGTGTTATTTTCCTGAGTAGTTGAAATATCAATAAAGTCCGAGTCTTGTTTCTACTTTGGTAATATCGTCAACCTTCACACAAATATGTTAATTAAAACCATATACCTGTAGTTCTACCTCGCTATGAAAATCAGCACTGTTGTAAATTAACTTTCAGCCATGCAATTTCGGTGTTGAACCGCACCCCATTTACTTCGACTTAAGCAGCTAGGTCCTATCATTAGCTATACCAAAATCAGTTTTGCTCATAACCGAGTGCACTTGTTAAATGAGCTTTGGGAGTCGTTTTCGCTGTGACTTTTCATAATTTTTTGGCCTGTGGTATTGTTCATTGCTAAACTTATCTAACTACTATATTCAAAGTTATTCTTATCAACCAAGTATATGTGCTGTAACAAGTTTGCCTATATATATAATCGTTAAACTTATCTGACTTATAGATGTGTCGGCATTTGTTTGTTGGAAAATTTGTATTCCATGTCGATTATCGTCTCTAGAAATTAGTGGGTTTATTTTTTACCTCTCGTTAAAATGACAAGACAAAATTTATTTGTGCACATTTATTTATTTCAACACATAGATATTGGTACAAAAAGGCACCTAATACATATGCGACACACAAATCTCATTCGATATGTGTGAGGGCTGTGATACTGCACGGGTGCCCAAACCGAAGCAGGTGTTTTTCTTGGGGGGCCACTCCCCGAGCCTTCGACATGTAGGTCTGATCCACAAGGCAGTGGAGCATCGTGTACATATTTTTATTTTCAATCTGGACTGTGAAATATTCGTTTTTTATCAAAAAATATTAATACTTACTTTTTCTAGTCTCAGATACACTGTTATTTAATTTAAATAATTATTCTGTAATTTCTATGATAGTCGAACAAGTGGATTAATTGAACAACTGTTGCGTAATGATCAAAATGTTGGAGCAAATAGTATGTCTTCATCAATGCATACTATTGATCGCTTATCATCGGATCATTTTCCAAGCAATTCATTTCTTCCCTGTCACTCAGGTAAATCATCTTTTACAGGGAATAATTCGAACTTATGTACTTCATTACAACAAATGGAAACAGATTATCTTTCTAATATAATGGATACAACACCTCAATTAGAAATTATTAGACAGCAATCTTTTCATCCAAGTGCTCTGTTTAATCATATTAATTCATCTCGTGTATCATCGTCAGTTGCTGCTGCTCACCATTTATTACCTGTACCTCTGTTGACAGATCACCATGGTTCTTCTACAGCTACTGCTGCGGCGGCAGCGGCAGCAGCTCAATCTCATTGGCAAGCTTATCGTTCTAATTTGCACTCATCAGTTGCAAGTTCATTCTATCCAATATCTCATAATACAACGAACTTTATATCTCAATCATCTACTTTACAATCATCAACACCAGTAAATCATTTCACATCTTCATTTTATGATAATTCACATTTAATGCATACAACAAATGATGGAAAACTTCCATTTTTAAATTGTTCCGGTAATTCAACTACATCTCTATCACCATCCATAACGAATTCTGTTGGTTCATCTTCCGGTTCTTGGCGTCATTCACTTGGTTTAGATATGCGTTTGTTAAGTGATTCACATAACTTACAACGAGGAGATCCAATTACATCTTTATCCACATCCTGTTCAGGGCATGGTGGTATTGAGAATACGAGTAGATCATTAGGTCCAGTAACACCACCTGATCTTATGTATTTTCCTCAAACGACGCTATTCGGTATGCCTGATCATAATATTGAATCATCGTTCCTGCAACAACAAACTCAAACGAAACAATTTAGCCAAAGTGGAAATCTGATGTCTGAGCAATTGTGTAATTTAGGACGAGCTGATCGTTCTTCTGTAACAAATTATGCAACACAGCAATCATCGTCACCATCATCAGCTTTTACTTCAAATCCAGTACAGTCTCGATCCACTGATCGTACATACAGGGATTTACGACATTATGTTGAATCTTATTCATCTTACGATGATGATTGTGAACCACTGGAATTAGAATTAAGTCTAGAACTAGCTGATCGAATTGTAGGAAGTACTGCTACAACGTCAAATAGTAGTAACCCAATAACTTCTAGTTTTTGATGCGCATACGAATTAGTGGATTAATTTAATTTGTTCAGGCATATTTCTAAGAAGAACATTTCATCTATTTGATTACTTAAAATTCATACTGAATAGTTGTTACTTAATGTTATATACATATGTATATTTTCCAACGAAATTTGAAGGCAGCTTGAATGAACCTCGAAATTTATATGTTATGGATTTTTATTAATCCCGTTCTTTCTTATTGTATTACCTTAAGATAACTTATTCAGAACATTCTTATTTTATTAACTCACTGGTCGTCTTTTTTTTACCAAGGATGATCCAACCTTCTGTATTTCTGTTTTTGTAGTGTTCGGCTCTGAACTCCATCTCTGTTACTAATATCATAATTGAAACCGTATGTCGACTTAATTTGCCAGTTCATAACCAGTTGTCTTTCCAAGTTAGTACATGTAAACAGAATAACTTGTTGCATGTGCTTTCTCTTGCCTAACTGGTAACCATTCAGGTATATATATATATATATATATATATATATATATATATATATTATAGCGCCTATCATCCTTATTCTACTGGATAACTCGGTTCAAGCTATTTTGTTGCTTGTGTGTGACTTTTTGTATGGAAGTAAATACTCGAACAGTTTGAATAATATGAACCGGTTATTCACTATTCAGGTATTTATACAAACTTTGGTTTGTTTTGTGCTTGTGTAACGTAAGGCAGGGCCATTCATATTACTTACTACCTTTATCCCAATCCGGGTTTTTTTCCATATTCTCTCTTGTCAAGTCAGGTAATATTTTTTTAGCTCCTTTGTTTTGCTTTGGGTATTGTTTTTATGCTGTTTTTTCGTTTATTTATTTGTTTATTTCTTATTGGATTTTCTTGATTATTGCCACCATTGTTTATCTATTTATCAATATGCTTCAAAAAAATCGAATAACTACTCTGCTTTTAACTTTTGTTAATTATTTCGCCGACCTGTGTGGATATGACGTTTATTCTCTCGTTTTTATTTATTTTCTTGCAAAGCTTTCTCCTATTATATTTTTACATTAATGCTTATTAAAGTACGTGTGTAATGTATGTGATCACCAAGCTTATTATTATAGGCTGACTACTAAACAAGAGACAGTCCTTAATTAACATTTTCCGTCACCGGTTGACAAGTTATTATTATTATATATATATATATCATCTGTTTATTATTATGCATCTATGTATGCGCATATTATCGGTGAATTGATTTCTTATTATAACAGCTATATGGTATTTGGTTGTAATACACTTATTGATTCTATTTTCCTTCACGCTAACTCTTATATATACATATGTAGAGATTTCGATTTTCCGGCATTTACACATTTAAGATTACATGGATGATAATTTAGAAAGCAGCAATAATAATATAGTGGGTTGCATTGATAGCAAGCCATAATTCTAAAATGGAAGTCAATGGATTAACCTAGAAAAGCTCGTTTTTCTTTGATTCTTTAATCACTTTATGTTTATAATTTTTGTGTTTTTAATTCATCTTTTCTAAGTAATTTCTTTTTTGTACTAATGGTTTTGACATTTCCTTTTTTGGATTATTCACATCACTAAATGTTGTATATTCGTTGTATTAGTGCTGCTATTGTTTATGTTGGTTAATCCAAAAACAGCCTAATAAAATGAAAGGTAACAGTAATCTTTTTTTTACATAAAATCAACAAATCCGGCATTTTCTGTTGTTATCACACTTCAATTTTTCTTACTATCCATTCTTCTGCTTTTTCTACTTCGTTTTTCCAGTACCCGTTCTCTCGTGTGCGTTAACCCTGGTGTTTTTTTCTGTTTTTACTTTCCTTCTACACTTTTCATTGATGCTTTATTTGTTCACCCACACTTTTTCCGATGATATTTATAAGTACTCAAAGTTTACGCTCCTTTCCTTGACTCATTCATATTTCTGACATATTTCCTGAATAATTTCTCACAAAATTAAATATTATTCTCATTTAAAAGTTCACCTGTTTTATTACTTCGTGTGTTTAATCTTTCTTTACTTTTTAATTTCTATAACTAAAACATCAGCATTACATCCGTAACTCCTTTTCGTGAGTAGCAATTTCGTCTATACGATTTCCAATAATGAGTTGATTTTTGAAAACAAGTTGTGGAATGGTTTTCATATACATATATTCCTGTTCCCACTAATTCACTTCATACATAAATGAGTAGTCATAATAATATATATTTCGAAAAGAATTACCTATCAGTTTGTTTATGTGTCTCTTACTCGATGTCTATCATCATTTAAAAGAATTTCGGAGTGATTATCAAACTGTCCAAAAATAAATATTACGTCGAAACATACGCAGTTACTTGTATCCGGATCTGTTGATCAGCACTTTCAATGTGATGATTCCCTCTAAATTGTTTTTTGCAAGGTTAATTGCATCTTGTTTTCATTGTTTTTTGGTTTAGTTATTTATATTCTGATTTCTTTAAAACTTGCTTTCGGCATATTTTATCGATAATTTTCACTTTTATAAGGTGTTTTTATATGTAACTTTGTTTACTTATAACTGATTTGTTGTTTACTGTATATTGCTTCTATTTAAATTATTTTTAATTCCATCGAATGTATTCACTGTATTACTTCTCTTTATCTTCCTCTTTTGTGCAAATGCATACATATTGGCAAGGCGATAGATTACGTTTTATATTAAAGGGTACTCTGTTGATTTTAAACTTAATTCCCCAATTTGCGATTGACATGTACTTCCTAATGCTTTTATTCAATAATCACTATTACTATCGTGCTAAAAAGATAATAATGAAGAAGCGTTTAATAACGCGTAAAATTCAGGAATGTCATTTCAGTTTGTTTATCCTTTCTAATCAACATGTAATGTGTTCATCTACCTCGTCAGACTGTAATAGTCTAATTGTCATTAATTGTAAACACAATATGTGTATCCGTTAAGGCATCTCCAGAGATTCATTTATAGCTTCAAATATTCTCTCGATTATAACTATTCTTTCTGTTCACTTAAATCTGATCAATTTCTTTCTTATTCTATCCCTTCTTACTCCGGTATTTCAATAATTACTATTGTTCACTTCAATGTTGATTTCTGTCCAGGTAAATCACTTTAAAGTTTAAGAATTTTATCCACTTACGTGTCTGTTTTCTTTATATCAGTTTGACGAGTATATCCTACTTATCTTCGATGATATGCTCAAGCGGCTACTTATTTTTTCTCTTTACGAGGAGATCCCTATCTATATATGCAAGAAAGTGTCCACTCAGGAATTTGATCAAGCATACCAGTTCGCTGATTATTGTCATTATTTTTTATTCTTGTCATTTATTAATTTATCAGTGACAAAAAAGTATTGTGTGTTGAAGTTAGCACTTAGTTATTTTGCCTTTCTGTGACAATGTGTTAAGGGTGCAATATACCAATTGTATTATTATGTTCTTAAGGAATTGTAAAGTTATTTGTTCAGTGTTCCCTGGTCTCTTCATTGTTATTCATGTTCCCCGGAAAAATCTGGAGACTTGAAATAAAATTCAAGTCAGCGACACGCAACGTAAAATCTGGTACATATGTGGATTGGTCCAAATTAGCCTACCATATTAGGACAGGGAGATGACAGAAAAGTATAATCAATGACAAGTGTGGTAGTAGAACATTTTAGGCATAGATAATATGAATCGAGGAGAATGAATGTATTCTCGGGATAAAAGTATCAGACTTCTAAAACTGAGGGAGTATACAGATTGAATACGTGTGCGACATTGCGACTTTAAGCCACGTCACAATAAGCTTGTGGACCTCAACTAGGTAAACTAAACCTACCCACATGACTCAGTTCAACAGTCAGTAAATTCATGTCACTGAACACCTAGCCCGATTAGACTTCTCGGATAAGTGAAGTGGTTGACGCGCCTTATTACTTAACCACGTTTCATTAGTTAAGACATTGATGCAGATCAGTCGTGAGGCAGCATTTTGCATTTATTGGGAGAGAAATGCAAACATACTTGAATAACTGCCCGGATGGTCCCGTATTTCGTCAGCTTCTACACCAAGTGGACCCTTGTTATCTGCGTATCCTAAAACAATAACTGAACTTCACAGCTCTGAATAATTCTGAAAAACTCATACAAAGCATCTCTGAAGTAATTTCCATCATACAGTAAGATAAAAGTGAATAACCATAAAAAAGGTGTAGATTCCAACGAGAGTTCGGCATAGGTCCTGGCGCTCCCAAATGCCGTGGTACGGCCGATGGTGGGGAGAGTCAGCTCTCCCTCTGGAAATGCGGTCACATCGCCACTGCTTGCGAAGTCCTACTCAATGCACTTTCGTGATGAGAGTATTTACGAAATTGAAAGGACGGAAACAGAGAGTCTGGCGCCTAAACCGGGTTAGTGGATATGGTGAGTCCACCTGGGTGAGTTGCTAGCATGATTAAGAGAAATAACAATAGCAAAGATGGAATAAAAGTTGTCAGTTGCATTACAAACGAAAACTTGCTTTATCAGTCATTTACTGTGTTGTTTGTTTTAAGGAATTAATTCAATCGAAAATACACTACAACCAGTGAATCAATGGTGCCTATGTCACCAATAGGTCTGCCACTGCGTCCTAATAATACAGTCACATACAATCAATAAAAGTTTTAAGCAGAGATTGGTAACGTCTAACGGTGGAATCCAGAACCCATATTTCGTAATATTCGGGACTCGTCGGCTGGATATGCCTCAAAGCCTTGTTGTTTATTACGGAACTCTGGCACAGTAATGTACGCTTCAAACGCCATGAAGCCCAAATAGAATAAAACTCACATCCTGAATATCACTGTCAGCCGCTATCCAACTCTACTTAAAATAATTGGCAAATAATGGTAATATCGAGGTAATTTGCACAGGATGCACATATGCCAGAAGTGACTGATCAAACGAAAAGATTCAAACAACATATATATATATATATATATATATATATATATATATATATATATATATATATATATATATATATATATATATATATATATATATATATATATATATATATATATATATATATATAAATCAATAGAAGTGTTTCAGTTTAGGTGGCCTATTCGTTAGTTCCCTAATTAAAATATGCAAGCTGCTTGAAGCAATGTTTTTTTTATAGTATCGGTCTTGGGTTATTAAAGTTAAGATCAAAATGACCGTAACCTGGAGATAAAACTGCCATCGATTTTTCAACTTTCAATCTTATAGAATACATAGCAAATAAAGGTACTGACAAATGATTTGAGTAATCGTAGTTTTTTTCATCCTAAAAACAAGCTTAGTATGAAAGATCTGTACACATTTATTCACTCTTCAACAGCCGATCATCGATTTCAAGAGGCCCACTAATTACTATAAAAAATGTTCACTTTCAAACATTTTCAAAACTAAACTGAATGGTTTTCATACTGTTTTCATATTCTAAATATCTTTTACTTAAAAGTGATACTTACTTACTTCCTTGCT